TGTATGGATTATTTTCCTTCTTAATATTTCCCATTCCGTGCCATAAGTATACTTCCTGCAAATAACTAATTTGTAGTTGTCATGGAAGAGATTTCAATTCTTGATGAAAAGACTTCTGAGTTATTGAATTTTCTTGTAACTATGTCGATCTATGAGCATTTTGAATATATTTTTATTAACCTGCAGACAAACCCATCTTTTACATTAAATCCTGGTATTTCCCACTGAGATGTTAAAGAACACAACGGCCAGTGCCAGGATAAACTGTGCAGATTCATTTGACTTGATACTCCACAGTATGCCGTCTGGTTTCTGTAAAGTTTATTGCTCCATGTTTTACAGAAGAGCTCTGTCTAAAAGCTTTGCCAGATTATTTAAAAGCTGTCCATTTCACATCATTCACTAAACTCTCCATAATGCAAAGTATCCACAGATGAAACATACAACTCTATTGTTTACAGTATAGATGCCATCCAATATAATGATGCTGAAGAATGACATTTATATATAAACATCTTCATGCCCATATAGGGATACTTCTGAAGCACAGATTGACTCTGACTTGATTTGATTCATTTGATGGAATGTGATTCTTGTGTCATGCTCATGATTTTAACCTGAGCTTCATAAAATCAGAAAACAAAGGATATTTGTGAAGAGTTGTTTCATTGCCTATGAGAAGAATGTCTTTATCGCATCCACAGAATTTCTTGTTTGTGTTAACGGTCATTAGATTATTTTATATGATACAACTGAAACATCCGATTGCATTTTCTGATTCATCTAATTTTAACAATGAAATTCTTAACAAGAACATATCGTTCTGTTTTTTTTTATTAAATCATAGCCCTTAAAACCAGTCCACTTTTTTGGAAAGTACTTGTTCTCATTTGATCTGTGCAAAATATGTACTTACATATTTCAGTGAAATGTTGAAGTAATGAATCTACGTGTGTCATCGGTGTTGACTTAAATGGAACTGGGAGCTAGTATTGGCTACTTGGTAATCATGGGCTCATTCTTAAATGCTGAACAGTGCACATTGCTGGGAAGGTGGGTATTGACCTATTTTTTACTTAGTTATTGGTTGATTTTCTGTACAATTTCTGACATCTTTACTGTAAAAACTCAGCTCAAGTAATTTGTTGGCTAACATGGATCTTTGAATAATTATTCGAGAAGCTGATTTCAGAGAAATCAGAAATTAATTGTTCAGTTTCAGAGGGTGGTTTGCGTGTGTAATAAACTTCCTGAGGAAGTGATGGATGTGGGTGTAATTACAATGTTTAAAAGACATTCAGATAAGTACATGAATAGGAAAGGTTTGGAGGGACATGGGCCAGGAACAGGCAGGTGGGACTAGTCTAGTTTGGGATTATGTCAGCAAGGACTAGTTGGACCAAAGGGTCAATTTCCATGCTGTATGACTCGATTACTCTATGGTAAGTGGCCTGTTTGCCAATGACTGCACAATGATCAGCACCATTCTTGACTGCTCAGATACTGAAGCAGTGTATGTTCAAATGCAGAAATATCTTACAATACCCAGGTTTGGGCTGACAAGTGGCAAGTAACATTCATGCCACACAAATGCCAGGTAATGACCGTCTCCAGTAAGAAACAATATAACCACTGCCCCTTGACATTCAATGACATTATCATTGCCGAATCGCCTACTATCAACTACCTGGGGCTACCATTGACCAGAAACTAAACTGGCCATATAAATATAGTGGCTACAAGAGCCGGTCAGAGGCTAGGAATACAGCAATGAGTGACTCATCTCCTGACTCTGCGAAACCTGTCCACCACTTATAGGGCAAAAGTCAGGAGTGTGATGGAATATTCCCTACTTGCCTGGATGGATACAGCTCTAACAACACTCAATAAGCTTGATCTATCCAGGACAAAGCAACCTGCTTGATTGGCACTACACCCACAAGCATCCATTCCACCTACCACCAATGCTCAGTAGCAGCAGTGTGTACTATCTGCAAGATGCACTGTAGGAATTCATCGAGAATACTGAGACAGCATCTTCCAAGCCCAAATACACTACCATACAGAAGATCAAGGGCAGCAGATACTTGGAAACACCACCATCTGCAAGTTTCCCTCCAAGCCACTCATCATCCTGACTTGAGAATATGCCAGCACTGTTGCTAGGTCAAAATCCTGGAATTCCCTCCCTAAGGGCATTGTCAGTCAACCTATAGTACATGGACTGCAATGATTCAAGAAGGCAGCTCACCACCACTTTCTCAAGGGCAATAAGGGCTGGGCAATAAATGGTGGCCAGCTAGCGATGCCCACATCCCATGAGTGAATCAAAGTGACACCTTTGTACATAAACTTATACACCTAAGGAAAAGATTTACATTTATGCAGGGGTCAAATATGTCTGTGAGACAAAACTTTCATATGTCTGTGGTTGGAGAATGAGCCCCTAGCATAGACATTTGTCTTCAAAGGATTATTGTTATATCTATTGCACACAGAGAAAGGCTGAAAAACCAGTGTTAACTCAGACTTAATGGTAATGAGGAGCATTGGAGGAAAACTCGCTGTCATGTTTTCACTGGTATGGGGTATATCAGTCCAGGGTGCTTGTTCCCATCCTTACTTAAGATCTTAAGGGCATGTAAATTCATGCTCATGTGCATACATTGAGACAACAAGGCAGAATGCATATGTGTTTGCATGATCACAACTGTGTCACCTGAATAAGTGCAATTTTTGAGTTTGAGGACAATGGAATTTGAAATACCCAACTTAAGATTTGAAGAAATTGTGTGTCCCTGAACTGTTCTCACAACAAAGAAGCTGAATGTGTAAATTATTGATCCAATTGTTTTACAAATTAAAAACTTTAATAAGCCCTTCTGCGTCCTTTTATTCTATGTTAGGCTTTCATAAAAGGAAATCATTAAGCACCATTTGCTGAATTTATAAAGAGATCAAACTTCAGAATCCAATGGAAGCAAACTGTTGATATTAGTCATTGTGTCACCACAATTTCTTTCAAAATGGGCAAGCTGATACTGAGACATCATTTTACTGTGAACAGATAAAGATGAAATAAGCTACTTTCCAGATATAATCAGGATAGAACTGTATCAATAACAGCATTCAAAATTAAAAATAAGGCCCTGACAGAAGTCATGAAAATGTAAAAGTTACCTAATCTATAGGAATAATGAAGTCTTTTGAATGATAAATCCCGGCGGTGGGAGTAGTTGAAACCGGGTACGGCAAGCCAAGGAATGTTTTCTACATTACTACAATCCCAACTGAAATCACAAACCTCACTACCGAGTTGATCTCCTCACAATGTCCTCTACACACACTAGGGCAGATTAAGGGCAGATAAATGCACTAGATATTGCAGAAATCAAAACATGTATGGCATGAGTTTAATATGCCAATTGTTGTAAATATGATTGAGTTCAAATAATTCGTAATTCATACTTTTAATGTGTTCGCACACGCTAAAATAACCCAAATTCACCAACGCTCTCGTCCCATTGTCGATCTGGCGGGTCAGAATTCAATAGAAATCAATTGCACCTGGATTCTTTTATTGAAATTTCCCTGTTCGAAGTTACATAATTTTAACAATTTAAATAAAGACACACATATATATATAGAATCCTTCAACTGCTTTTCTGTCAAACACTTTGCCAATGATCGCGGTGCCCACCCCCAGTCACATCCACCCACTGGAACCTAATAATACCGAAATGCCGTCTCCTGGATACCTTTCATTTTGCAGACTGCGACAATGCAGAAATGTTCAGTTAGATCCCCAACAACTTCAAACATCGCACTCAACCAGTGCAATGATCCAGATGCTAACTTCTGACAACGAATAGAGATCATAAACACTCCTCTGCTGAATTGGACAATGATTATCTTAGAGTTGAGCCGAATGCATTAATTTCAAGTTTAATGCCACAAATGTTTATTATTGTATCTCTTGTGCTCATTATATTCGCGTTCCCTTTTTGTAAGAGCTGAATTTAATAGAGACTGCTAGTTTTTTAAAGAAGGGATAGCGCGCAGGAATAAATAAATTAATGACTTCGGTGACTTAATCACAGTTGTATTGTTGGGAATGAGCGATAAGATTGTCCTGGAATAAGACTGAAAGCGTTTCTGAAGTTTACGTCAGGTTTTGGAATAGTGGCCCAGATCTGCATAGCAAGTGCCTGCCATTTGTTTGTGAAGGAGGACTTTTTGCGGCTTCCCCCACCCCCACACCCCAAACACACACCTTCCCATGTAATAGACCATATTAGTAACCAAAGCATTATTCACGGTTTCTTTTCTGGAAAGTTTGCTATTCTGACTTACATCTTTTAAAAATGCTTTTCGCCGTTGCAAGTTGCTGCCTGGGGGACTTGGCTGGTTGTTTTAGCATTAACTGGCAGCCTGAGGTAGAACTGCTTTGAACGTGTTCATTTCGAAACAGGTTTCCCGATAAGATTCTGTTTCTGCAACAGATATATCCCTCAATGACTGACTGGCTGCCTTGGAATGGATCTTTCCCATTATCTGTAGTAAATAGACCTCTTGCCCAACCAAACCAACCTCCTAAATGCCAAAGTATGTGAGCTAACCCTCAATGAGTTAGAGGCGTGTCGAAGATCATTTGGAATGGTATGTTTCATTACTGGATTTTCTGAGAAGCTATTTAACATAAAACGTAACTTGTCTGATTTTGGTTTTCAATTTCTGCACGCAACATACAATGAATTAAGGTAAAGCGTTGAAGCAAGTAGACTTCTCGACAGACCGAGCTAATGAGGAGAATCTAGTTCCAGGGCTAGCCGAACAAGTCCCCTGCAGAGGACGGTCTAAGCTAGGAGCAAGTAGCCAGGAAGAGCAGCCGAGGATACGATTCTAACACCGTGGTAATGGGAGAACAGTTATTTTTACATCCCGGAAAGATGATAGCAAAGTTCTTCTTCAGAGGAAACTATTGTGAAATCTAATCTCACCAATGATCCGGACAACTCTAACCAATTGCGATGACTTCGATTGATTTCAGTCTGTTAAAAATCAATGAGTCAAGGATTGGAAGGTACCTGGGAAGACATAATTCCATTAAAAACGACATTTCTCTTTTCTATGCATGCTTTCAACAACTCATGTACCTCTGAATAAAGTGACAGATCCTTTAACCGGCTAGTTCCCATTTCGAAAGTTTTCAAATTGCGGATACTGGAAATCTGAAACAAACACAGAAATTGCTGGAGAAACTTAGCAGATCTTGCAGTATCTGTGGAGAGAAAGCAAGAGTTAACGTTTCGGGTTCACTGTCCCTTCCTCAGAACTGGTAAAAGTTCTGACAAACTGGTAAAAGTAAATCTTCTGTTTCTGGATTCGAAACATTAACTCAGCTTTTTCTCTGCAGATGCCGCCAGACCCACTGAGTTTCTCCAGCAATTTCAATTTCTTTTTTGAAAGAACTTTCTGCGGTCGGACAATTAGCCTGAAGGTGAAATACACGGCACTGGACGGGAGTTGAAGGATCATTGAGTAGACTGTGATGCACCCACTTCTCTTCTCGTCCCTCACCAGACTGGAAATACAGAACGGTATGTTTGCTCTCTCTGTCGACTTTAACTGTAAACTACAGCTAATGTTTACTCATGTTTCAGCGTTAAGTGACCGCTCTAATTTGGGTTCATCAGCGGTATGATAACATTCAAACCGAACGGCGTCTTAAAGATTACACAAACCAGTCCCAAATCTGGTTTTGCCAGCTGATCAAACGACTGGTTTTTATTTCTGTTGAGTATAAAAGCTGCAACAAATACGAGCGACAGTTCATCTCATTCGCCTACTCACCCCCATCCTTGACTGAACCGAAGGCTCGCATGCAAACCAGTTACGATGTCCAAAAATAGAGTCAGATTGCATGCAATTTGTAGGATCTATTTAGATTAGAAACAATCGTTTTGAAGTGTACAGTTTTGAAAGTCAAGAAAATAAGCTGTAACTTAGATACTTAATTAACATTCCTTCAGTCGCAAGTAATTCCCATCATAATATGTTCGCTCATTTCAAATGCGGTTCAAAGTGAGAGCATACTGAATTACATTTCTCTTTTGAACGACTATTCTTGGAAAGAGGCATAATATTGCCCTGGCGTGGTCAGTGCAACTTCGCCACAAATACAAGGGTAAACTCTTACCATTTCAGTCCGATGCAAGTACGTACAAATGACAGTGTTACGCACAGTTGAAAAATGTTCGTTGCCTTCATCTCGGAAGCTGCTCAGAAGGACTGGCAGGCTATGGGTGAAGCTTTCTGTTTATATTACAAACCGTTCACTTGTCGAGACTTCGGCTTTTTTTTCTAAAGTATGGGATTTGAAGATCCGACAGCTGTGACGTGAATGTTGTAGTCTTGTCAGTCACATCTCGCTCTGGGCAAACCGACGCGACTTCCTAGGAAATTGAAGCCACTTTTGAATTAACAAGTGTGCGTATCTTTTTTTTAAATAACGTTAAATGGGTATGCAGACCCGGAGCTGTGGTGGTGGAACGGTCACATCCCTCGGAACATATCAAAGCAAAACAAAAGCAAATCTTTATAATGAGCAGAGCTTCCCCTTCTTACTTCAGCCGCATCTCGCAGCCTGCTTAGAATCAGAGGCAATCATAAAACGTCTCTTTGGGTTTCATGAACAACGTTGAGATGCGCCAGGAAGAGGAAAAGTAGAGTATTATTTCTCAAAAGAAAGCGGCAGCCTGCTGCTGCATCGGTCCAAAGCACTCACTTGCCCAGCTAGAAACCTCCTGTCGATTCTTTGACAGACTCCAGTCGGGAAATCCTTCACAGACCAGCCTCCCCAACATGAAAAGCTTCCGCAGTGACATTATTGCTCTTCTCGAGATAAAGAAAAGATTTGGCCTTTGCCCTCCCTTAATAGCTGGCAATGACTCAATTCGGTCATGAAGCACTGTTTCAAACCGTGGCAATGCGAGGGTGAATCTTTCTGACATTTAAGAAGAAATCTGGCTGTGTTGAAAATCAAGCACCACCGACTTTGGCGGGCGCATTTTACATCAGGCTTCCCGTTAATAAACAAGACCGGGCAATGTAGAACTAAACGCACAGCACAACAATAAACAATCAGGTGTCATTTAAACTGATTATAAAACCATTAATTTCATGGAATGTTACAAGAGCAAAACAAGTTGTTCAAGTTTGTGTAAGATTGATCTTTTTTTCTCTCTGTGAAACCAGCTGTAATTCCATCTTCAAAAACAGAAACTCAGCAGGTCTGTCAGCATCTGTGGGGAGAAAAACAGTTCTCTTTTCACCCTTCAAATGCTACCCGACCTGCTGACTTTCTCCAGCAATTTCTGTTTTTGTTTCAAACCTCCAGGATCTGTAGTTTCTTGATTTGTTGTAGTTCCATCTTTGCTACTTGCAATCCCATTCAGTGAGAAGTATCACCTTTCTATTGTTGGACACAACTCTTCATTATTAACAAGGTTCCATCCGAACATGCAAAATTGAAACATTCGGCCCCTGGAGCTTGCTCTGCCATTCAATAAGATTATATCTGATCTGTTTATTTTCCAAATTCCACATTGCCAACCAGCCCGACAACCTTTGATTCCCTTGACCAAAAAGAATAGTTTAGAAACAGAATCCACAACATCTTAAAGGAGCAAGTGGATAAATATTTGAAGAATCATCCATCAGGCCAGGAGAATTTGACTGAATAAATTTCAAGTGGCCTTTTTCTGGACTTTAAGTTCTTATTATTCATTTGTGTCTTTGTTCAGCAGAGTTTAAGTGAAGCTCAAGTCAACCATGGAGCTCCAATTAAAAATATTTGATGATCCAGTCTCCATCATAAGAGGTAAGGCTAGAATAAGTTCCATCCAGCCCATCAAGCCTGCTCTGCCATGTGATAATTCCCAAATCCATTTTCCTGCCTTTTCCCCATAACCCTTGGTTCCTTTACTGATTAAAAACCTATCTTTCTCGGCTTTCAATATACTTCATGGCATACCCTTGACAGTCCTCTGCAGTAAAGAATTCCACAGACACATTACTCTGTGAGAAGCAATTCCTCCTCATTTCTGTCTTAAATATGCAACCCCTTACTCTGAGATGATGCCCTCTGGTCCTAAATCATGCCACAAAGAGAAACAATCTCTCTGCATCCACCCTGTCAAGTCCCCGGAATCTTGTATGTTCTAATAATGTTGACTATTGTTCTTCAAAATTAAAATGTCTACAGGTCCAAACTACTCAACCTCTCCACACCCTCTCCAGAACCCATATTGACCTAGTGAACTTTCTTTGGTCTGTCTCCAATCCCTCCAATCTTTCTTTAGATAATGGACCCAGAACTATTCATAGTCTTCTAGATGTTCCCTACCTAATGTCTTGTATAGTTTTAGCAAGACTTCTCCATATTCATTCTCCATTCCCTTTGAAATTAAAGGTGACATCCTGTTTGCCTTCGCTATCACCTGCTGAATGTGGATATTAAACTTCTGTAAATTATGCATAAGGACCTTCTAATCCCTCCGTGCTGCAGCCTTTTGCAGTGTTTTCCCATTGAAATAATGTTGAGCTCTTTAATTTTTCCTGACAATGTGCATGACCTCACATTTTCCTATGTTATATTTCATCATACTGGAACATACTTAACTTTTCAACATACTTGACCTCATCCTTACCAATCTGCCAGCTATAGATGCATCTGTCCATGACATTATCAATAAGAGGGACCGCGGCACAGTCCTTGTGGAGACGAAGTCTTGCCTTCACATTGAGAATAACCTCCATTATGTTCTGTGGCACTATCACCATGCTTCAAACAGATCTAGCAATGCAAGACTGGGCATCCATGAGGTGATGTGGACCATCAACAGCAGCAGAATTGTACTCCAGTACACTCTGTAACCTCATGGCCTGGCATATCCCCCACTTAATTATTACCATCAAGCCAGCGGATCAACCCTATTTCATTGGGAGTGCAAGAGGACATGCCAAGAGCAGCATGAGGCATGCCTGAAGATGAAGTGTCAACCTGGCGAAGCTACCAGACAGGATTATTTGCACACCAAACACCATAAGCAGCAAATGGTTGACAGAGTAATTGAGCCCACAACCAACAGATCAGATCTAAGGTCTGCAGTCCTGCCATATCCAGTTGTGTATGGTGGTGAAGAATTAAACAACTCACTGGAGGTGAAGGTCCTCCACAAATATCCCCATCTTCAATGATGGAAGAACCCAGCACATCAGTGCAAAAGATAAGGCTGAAGCTTGTGCAGCAATCTTCAGCCAGAAGTGCCCAGTAGATGATTCATCTCAGCCTCTTCCAGTGGTCCCCAGCATTACCAGTCTTCAGCCAATTCGATTCACTCTACGTAATATCAAGGAACAGTTGGCAATAGTTGATACTACATAGGCTACAGGACTGGCAACATTCCAGCAATAGTACTGAAGACTTGTGCTCCAGAACTTGCCGCTCCTTTAGCCAAGCTGTTCCAGTACAGTTACAACACTAACATCTACCTGTCAATGTGGAAAATTGTCCAGGTATGTCCTGAACATAAAAAACAGGACAAATGCAACCTGGTCAATTACAATCCCATCAGTCTACTGTCGATCATCAGGAAAGTGATGGAAAGTGTCATCAACAGTGCTATCAAGTAGCACCTGCTCAGCAATACCCTGCTGAGAGATGACCAGTTTGGGTTTGGCCTGGGCCATTCAGCTCCTGACCGTCATTACGGCCTTGGTTCACATGTGCTTAAAAGAACTGAGGTGAGGTGATAGCGACACTCCTTGACATCAAGGCTGAACTTGAATGAGTGTGACATCAAGGAGCCCTGGCAAAACTAGAATCAATGAGTATCAGGGGCAAACTCTCCAGTGGTTGGAGTCAATGCTGACACATAGGGAGATGGTCATCATTGTTAGGTCAATCATCTAAGCTCCAGGACATTTTTGCAGGAGTTCCTCAGGGTAGTGTCCCAGGCTCAAACATCTTTGGTTGCTTTATCAATGATGTACACTCCATCATAAGGTCAGAAGTGGGGATGTTTGCCAATGATTGCAAAGTGTTCAGCACCATTCACGACTCCTCAGATACTGAAGCAGCCCATGTTCAGATGCAACAAGATCTGGACAATGACCAGGCTTGGGCTGACAAGTGGCAAGTAACATTCGTGTCACACAAATGCCAGGCTATGATTATCACCAATAATAGAAGATCTAACCACCACCCCTTGACATTCACTGGTGTTACCATCATAGAATCCCCCACTATCAACATCCTGGGTGTTATCATTGACCAGAAACTCAAATGTACTTACTACATAAATACAGTGACTACAAGAGCAGGTCAGAGGCTAGGAATACTGCAGCGAGTAACTCACCTCCTGACTCCCCAGAGCCTGTCCACCATCTACAAGTCAGGAGTGTGGTGGAATGCACCCAACTTGCCTGGATGGGTGCAGTTCTAACATCACTCAAGAAGTTTGATACCATCCAGGACAAAGTAACCCACTTGATACGCACTGCAGCCGCAAGCATCCACTCCTTCCACCACTGACGCTTAGTCGCAGAAGTGTGTACTATCTACAAGATGCAGCAGAAATTCACCAAAGATCCTCAGACAGAATCTTCTAAACCCAGAAACACTTCCATCTAGATGGACAAGGACAGAAGATATACGGGAACACCACCATCTTCAGGTTCCCATCCAAACTCCTCACCATCCTAACTTCGAAATATATCACCATATCTTCATTATCACTGTGTCAAAATTGTTGCATCCCCTCCCTAAACCCACAGGAGGTGGACTGCAGCAGCAGTTCAAGAAGGCAGCTCACACCACCTTCTCAAGGGCAACAAGGGATGGGCAATAAATGCTGGCCAACCAGTGACGCCCACATCCCACAAATGAATAAATTATAAAAAATCCACCAAGCTTTTGCCTATTCTTTAAACTTGTCTACAATCCTCTGTGGACTCTTTGTGTCAACCTCACCCTTGTTTTCCACCTATTTGTATGTCATCCGCAAACCTGGCGATAAAAACTTCACTTTCCTCATCCAAGTCAATAATATCTATTGTAAATAATTGTGGCCCTGGCATTGATCCTTGTGGCATTCCATTAGTTACAGATTGTCATCCTGGACATACACTTCCACCTCACTGCCACCCCACCCTCCAATTTTCCAATTCTAGCATCTTTTCGATAGCAAGTCTTCTATTCATGTAATCTATACAATCTCCAGTACCATGCCTTCTTATCCAATTAAATAGTCTTATATATGGTACCTTATTGACTTCCTTCTGGAAATTCAAATATGTTGTATCTACTGGTATCACTTTATTTATCCTGTTTGTTGGCTTCTCAAAGAATTTTAACAAATTCTCCCCTTTATGAAGGTACACTGACTCTGCTCAATGATATCATTTGTTTCTAAATGCTCTGCTTTTCCAATCTTCATAACAGACTCAAACATTTTTCCAAAAACAGATGTTAAACTGACTGGTCTATAGTTATCTGTTTTTTGTTTCCTTTCCCTTTTGTTACATTGATAGTTTTCAAATCCTCTGGGACTTTTCCATAACCTAAGTATTCCTGAAAGATTACTGCCAGTACATCTACTATCT